GCTGAAATAAAAGCCCCATCTAGAGCCTTATTTGAGGTAAACACCTCCCCCGAACAAACGCCCCGAGGTGCTTATTTTTTCCTCGAATAAACACTCCCTAAATAACTGTACACATGCCTAATGGAAATAACATAATTTTAAACACATTCTATTAATGTTCTATATAATAGAATAAGTATTACATTTTTTATAACCTGGTTGGGATTCATCAAGTCTTTATGATCGCGCAGTAACACATTTTGACGATAAGTATGTGTTGTGGTTCCACTTTTACACTGAAATTAAGGGATGTTTATTTTAGTACTGTATATACATATCCATTTTACACCAAAATAAATAAACACCTCTAATATACACCTCCCTCAAATAAATTCCCCCTCAAATACCCTTCTGAACAATTTTGTAATATTTTATTATATCTTATTTCATATATTGTCATATTATAATTATTTATTTATTAGGTTCATTACTTAAAGTTCATAGAAGCGTTTAACATTATTTAAAACTAACAATTAATATTGTTCTTTTTTGTGCAGGTGGGTATAGCAGTAGTGTAACCACTTTAACAAATGGTTATTTTACCTCCGGATTTACTGGTTGTATCGCACAATTTTCAACAGCTTTAAATCCAAGTGGTACTCTTACCCAAGTAACTCTACAACAACAGGCTACTAGTGGAGCTGGAATCAATGTTTGCTCATAACTTAAAAAAAAATAGTGATAAATAAATAACAGTAATTTGTAAAAGCAAGAAATTGTGTTGTCCAAACCATATACCGTCCATTTATAGCAATATAAGGAAATTACCAAAAAGAATAATGCATAAGTGTGAAGTCTTGCCACAAAATTGAGTTGATAACATATGTGGTTAGTTCGATTTTAAAAGCTTTAATTTGGTCTTTGAATGGCTCTCCTAGCATAAGTAAATCCAGAGATGTGAACATTTGAAGTTAGGTGTATGAGAACCAGGTTTTGGGAAAATCCACTCCAAAGATAAACTTACTGGTAAAAATAATAGGACTAGAATTTACAGTTAGTAAATGTGCTTTAAAGGTAAACTATCATGAAATGTTATGTATCAAATTATTCAAAAAATTCAATTCAATTTTGACTGACCTATTTTGATAAATATCTCAATATGACTTCACACGATGCATCCGATTTTGTGGTGAGAGCTTACATATATGTGGAATTTTTTATGTATATTATTCAATAAGTTTGTACCAAATGCAAAGTCTTTTCTAAATAAAATAGGGCATATACCGCTTAAGATTTTTGTCAGATTTAAAAGTCAATTTGCATGCACGAGTCTTCTGGAAATCAAGCAAAAATTCTCCCGGACTCGTAATCCATTTACATTTAATGTTTGCAAGTTTTTAATACTGTATCAGTGGCAGCGCTAGGATTTCCACTACAGCAGGGCAATGCCACCGACAGGCTGGGAAAGAGTTGTACTTCGGCACGTAGGTCCAAGTCGAGGGGAGCGTTTGATGAGAACATCAAGGCATCTTGACCTTATTTTAACAAAATATTTGATAGATTTTCAAGCTTGCATACTGTGGGTAATGCTTAACAATTTAATTCATGTAAATTATGTGTTTTACTCATCAAGTATTTAATCTGCTAAAGAATAATAGATAATTTTATAATATATAAAAAATGAAAAAAAAAAATATCTTTTAATACTTCTACCTTGTATAAATGTATAGGCTAAGTTTATTTTATACGTTGGTATTATTGTTAATTATGAATTATTGAATATTTTGGTTATTATAGCTGTTATTAAAAAAAAATAATGTTTAATATTAAAGTGTTCTTGATATTTATATTATTATTTATTACCACTGATTTTATTATTATTATTACTGTTAGTGTTATAATAATGTTTTTATACATAAGTCTGATTTTATTATTTGTTTTTAAACCAAAAAAACAGTAACTCCAAATGACAAAGCCATTTTGAGAATCCATGTCTCAATCTATTTGACCTTTATTAGTTGTATAATTAGTTTAATAGGGAGCTTCCGTTTTGTGGGACGATGCGATGCTAGAATGGAATCCAACGTTCTCTGCATACGTAGATTT